GAGAGGCCTTTTGGAGGCCTCCTGGGGCGTCTTGGGTGCATCTTGGACCGTCTGGGGGCCATATCGAGTGTCTTGGAGCGATCGTTCGGCGACTCGGGGCCCTCTTGGACCGTCTTGAGGGCGTTCGTTTCTAACAGGGTGCATTGTGTACGCGAATGCGCTTTCTCAAGTCTGTATTAGATTTCCCAGTCCTCTCAGCATCACGACGGGTTCCCCCGCCAGTCCGAACAATCGCGCGCCGATGCACGAGGGAACGCCTCGTTCTGGAACGGCTGTCCTTTGGCAAGAACAGGTACGGAGGAGGAGGAGGAGAGGGACGAGAGGAATGAGAGGGAGGGGGAGGAGGAGGAGGAGGAGGAGGAGGAGGAGGAGGAGGAACAGGAGGCCTCTCTTGGGGCCTCCCGGGGGCCTCTGGCGGGCCTCTCAATGCCTCTTTGGTAAACTGTGCGGCAAACGAGCATAAGCGCGGCAACATACGAAAATACATGAGATGCCGAGGTAAGAAAAGAAGTATGGGTCTCGCTTGCCAATACCTGCAGCGCGAAGACTCGAAGACATTTGAACGGCGCTCTTGTCAGACAGTTCCTTCACTTCAGCTTGGGCTGCCGACGCGATCTGTGCACAAAGTTGGGTGAGTTCAGTTAGGAACCGTCTCCAGTTCAACCCCGATTTGGGGAGGTCGCAGGATCCCCTAGGCCCCTCGATTCCTGCGGAGGAGCCGGGGGGAGGGGAAGGAGGAGGGGAAGGGGAAGACGAGGAGTCGCGGGGAGGATCTGGCATCTCCGTGGGTCACCCCCCAGCTGTCGCAAATCGGGCCGTTGCCACGGTGAGGCCTCGCTTGACCCGTCCGTCCCCCTCGGCCCCGGAAACGGCGTGGCGGACGCCTCTCGTGGGCGGCCACTAGGGGGGTAATGACTGAGGGCGGGTGGGTATCATTGCGGGGGCCATGAGATCTCCCCAGGTTTCATGGCGCCTCTTCTTATTTCAATGCGTCCCCGGCGCCTCCCCTGGGCCGCGCACATGCTGCCGACCATGATTTGCACCCCCGCCTCTTGGACCCCCCCTCTTGGACGCCTCCGATTCTCAGGCCCGCAGAGACCACGACAAAGACGAACCAGGACGCTGGCAAGTCGGGGAAGCGACGCCCTGCCCTGCAAGAAGTCAGATGTGGTCGTCCACAGTGCACCCTTTTTGTTTGACTGCACTGCAGGATGCGGGCCGTTGGGGGTCTTGCAGGCTCTCGGGCCCGTTGCCCAGGCCCGTTCTCTTGCGCGGCCTCTTCTGGAGCTCAGGCCTCTCTGCGTCCGTCCTCTGCTGGCTGGTAGCCGTGGCCTCTGGCCTCCCTGGCCTCCTTGGCCTCACCCTCCCAGCGGGCCTCGGATTGTTTCATTTTCGTCGACGTTGTCGTCGTCGACGTCGTCGTCGCGTCGTTTCGCTGTGTCGCGTCATCGTGTTGTCGCGGCATGCCCGGCCCCCTGGCCTCCCAGTCCTGCGTGGTGACCCAGGGCTCCCCCTGGCCTCCCGGGCCCCCCCCCGGCCTCCCAGTCCTGCGTGGTGGTGGCTCAAGCCCTCTTTCGACGAAAGCCCTGAGGAATCTTTTTCACGCTCTATCTTCCCATTCCTTATCCTGCCAAGCCACTGGGGTTGCGGCACTCGCCTTCCGCCTCGATGGGTTCAGCAAGGTTGAGACCTCCGAGCCCACCATCCGCACTGCTCGGTCCGCGCCGGACCCAAGCAGCCAGGCCGAGGGGGAGCCGAAGCAGTACAAGACAGGCCGCGAGATGGTCGGCTAGACTGCGAAGTACGGGAAACAGACGTTCGTGGATGAGGCCGTCGACGGGACGAAGGTGCACATCATGCGCAACTTCGACCCCGTGGACCTCCCCCGACGCGATCTTGACTACTACGACGACCACGACTTTGCCTCCAGCCACGTCCTCGATGCCGACTCCGAGCACGCCCAGATGGCGGATAATACGCGGAAGCCCGCGGTCGTCATACAGAGGGATGCACTCGACCAGTCCGGACTCGTCGAGGAGATGCTCAATGACGCCAGCATTGTATCCAGCAGCGACGCCAGCACCGTGGCCGGCACCGACTCCGGCACCGACGCGCATAAAGGCGGCCATGTCCGGTCATTCACGACGAGCACGACGAGTGCAAAGGAGCCAAGAGAGGACCAGACGGCGGATGAGGTAGAGGACGGCGACAACGAAGAGGACCACGACCAGGAGCATATGCAGGACCACGGGCATGCCCGCGCTTTCGTCGACGACTCTCGACGACACGTTCGACCACGGCCAGGTCCACTTCGACTGCGAGCACGGCAACGAAGACTGCGATCACGCCAGCATCTCCGACGCCGACGTTCACGGCACCGTGGACACCAGCCTCACCGACGCCAACAGCCACGACAGCACCAACGTCAGCATCAACTCCGCGTTCTTTCGGATGGAACTTACAGGGCCCCCAAAGCAATACCCCAAATCTGACCTCGGCGACCCTTCTCATTCGCCCCTGAACCCCATCCCTGAAACGACCTCCGCCCCTCCCTCGCACCCCTTGGCCGTGACCGCCCACAACCCAGACCCATTTTTGTTGGCTCCCGATTCTAGGAACGCCCAGGACCTCGGACCGACACCAGCGGTGGACGACGACTACGGCGACCACGACCCCTTCGATCACAAAGGCGCTACCGCATACGACCAGAAACTCGACTACGTTCACGACCTCTTCGATCACAACTCCGACTACAGCTGCCACCACCACGACCTCGTTCAGGCGCAGGATGTGCCTCCAGAGTGGCATGCCCTGGTTGCCAGTACCTTCCCGTCCAGCGGCTCATGCGTGGCCCAGCGAGTCCAGGAAGACTGCCAGAGGCCGAGTCCAGGAATACTGCCAGAGGCCCCCAGCCTGGAGGCCGAGTCCAGGAATACTGCCAGAATGCTCGGATACATCCCCAGGACATGGGCAGCAGATCTCCGTGGTGACGCTCACAGTGAAATCGATCAGACTTCCGATGCAGACTAGCGGCACGGTAGATAACACAAATATGATGATCCAGGGAAAGGAGGGCTTCCCCTCCACGCAGCAGCACCTGATCTTCGCCGGAAAGCAGCTTGAACTGGGCCCACGGCTGTCGCATTACAACGTTCAGAAAGATCTCTTGCTCCACCCCGTGCTTCGCCGGCTCGCCGGTATTCAGACCGCTGTGTCTCCCCCGGGAGTTGACGTTCACGACGACAGCCAGTACGTGAGCATCTAGACCAACACCCGTGACAACATCGGCGATGGCAAGACGATACAGATCCGGGTGAACACGCTCAGGTGGACCACTATTGCCATCGAGACGGCGGCTAGCGACACGATCGACGCCGTGAAGCTGCACATCCAGGACAAAGAGGGCATCCCCCCTCCCCCCTCATCACCAGCACCTACTCTTTGCAGGGCGTCAGTAAGAGGACAACTGCACGCTCACGGAATACCGCATCTAGAAAATGGCGATGCTGCGGATGCTGCACCGTCTCCGGGGAGGTGGACCGAGCACGCTGCTGACAAGCATCCCATACCCAGGTGGAGCATCTATATTTTCTGCAGGTTCCGTGGGTTCTGCTTCCGTGGGTCCGTGGGTTCCGTAGGTTCTGGCCAGTGGTGTCGTGGCTCAGAACGCTGCTCCCAGTGTACCACTCGATCTGCCAGCTATGCCGGGCGAGATGCAGGATGATGGGATGGTGGAGGATGCGCTTGTTGCGCCAGCGGAGGCGATGGCCGCGGACGACGGAGACACCGGCCTCTCGCAGGGCATGGCAGCGACGCATTTGACATCAGTCGCCCCACCTCCTCCTCCTCCTCCTCCTCCTCCTCCTTCTCCGCCTCCTGGCATCGAGGAACCGCAGGTTACGCAGATGGACACGCAGTTGGTCAAGCTGCTTGAGGATCACATCGCTTTCCACTCTGACTAAATCCAGGCCAGACGAGCGGTGGCCAGCGCAATTCAGCACCCGGACACGAGGACCCTCTTCCGCTCTGTGGAGGAAGACTTGGCCGGATTGCGCACGTTGGGCTTCAGTGGCGAGAGCACACTGGCCTGGGTACGACTCGGTCTGTGCTAGGAGGAGGGCCCTGTCCCAGATGAGAGTCGTGTGGGGTCGCGGGCCCGCATGTCTTCCCATGTACTGCGGGCCGCGGCCGCTCGCCATGGGGACTCCGAGGTTGCGCGGAAATGTCGACAGTTGGCGGCGAGATTGATGGAGGATGCCTGCAGCTGTCTGCGACTCTTGCCGTCTTTCCTAAACACCAGTCGCCGTCGCGCCAAGATCACGGTCCCTCGGCACAAGGAGGTGGAGATGCCGCTCTTCAAATTCTTGCAGTGCGGGTTCGATGAGGATTTGGGCGATCGGGTTCTCTGCCAATTGTCTAACCTGCAGGGGCTCCCTAACATGCCCACATGCTCACGACACGCCTTCTGCACGAGAAGGCCGAGCAGGACGCGTCCTCCGCTGCCTCGGCCTTCGAGACAGGCGCACGCCGATGGATATGCTGGGCCCCCGACGACCGGACATGCATCGGCCGCTGGATGGCGACGGTGCGTGCGCTCCGCGAGGCGAAACCACTGGCCCAGCTTTCGCCGCTGACACCACGGCCAGTTGTTCCTGGACGGCCATCACCCTCAGACATGATGGATTATTGGGCACCTCCCCTTCTAAGGGGGGATGCGGGCAGAAGGGCCGAGACGATCCTGCTTTTTCAGCCACCAGTCCGGGTACTTGTTGAGGGGCGGCTTGGGCCTCGGATTTTGGAGCAACATTTGGCGCTCATCACGTTTGGTCAGGTATCCGAGGGCATCCCTACGCCAACCGTCACCCACTGGACGGACACGGCTCCATCCACGCCAGCCTCGGAGGCCGTCGTCCTCGACTACCCCACGGAGCAAGAAGACGCGCTACTTACGGCTGTGCAGAATCTCCAGCTGACTGGAAAATCAACAAGTGGAGCCGGCCATGGACAGCCCGAGCAATCGCGACGGCCGGAGGGTCTTGTACGGCTACACCGGCGACGGGGCCACGGCCGTCTTGACGACTCTTCAGGCCACCCTTTTGATCCGCGACCTCTGGACCCGCCTAGAGCATCTACCTGGCATCGCGCTCGGCCACACGATGCTCATACAGGATCCTGGAGCACTCGTGATCGAGTACAGCGAGCCGGACGCCATTGCGACGCTGCCCGACTTCTGGGACCAGCTGATCCTCCTCACGTCCAGCAAAGGCGTGCTTATCACATCACTGTCGGCGACAGCGTGGGAGCGGCTCCTCACCGCGCAAGCGGAAGCACAGCAACAGGTTCGCATTCTCAAGCTCCCCTGGCGCCTCAGCACCAGGGGTGGGCTGCCATGTGTTATCCAGGGTTATCCCACACGCCCTCTCGCGGTCCCAGGCCGCGACAATGGGAGGGGATTTTGGGGACTTGCCAGGCCCTGCGCGTTGCTCCATCCACGTCCAGATCAAGGGCGACACCGGCACTGACCCTTCCACCATCACGGAGCACCTGATCAAGAAGCTCGTGGAGTGCATTGGGGTCGCTTGGTCTGCGGCGACGCTTGGGGAACTCACCCGAGCAGGACAGATCGCACCAGTGGCTGGCCATGTCGGGAGTGGAAGCGGCCACGCCTGCGCTCACGACTCGATCGTCAAGATGCTGAACGGCCTCTGTTTCGCGGGAGCCGCCGGCACTCGCCAGCTCGGCGTGACGCTTCAGCACGACTACGCCGATCGCACTCTTGGGAGAGGCCGCGAGGCGATGATGGGCCCACCGTCCTCTGGTAATCATTCGGGGCCCGCCGCGTCCAGGGAGCAGCACAGCGCCAGTTGGGCTGCTCCCTCCGCGAGACGAATGCTTTTGCACGAGTTTCCTCGCTGCAATTTGAGTGTCTGACTCCAGGGGCAGCTCTGCCGCTCACCCCAGCACCTCGGGGACCTCCAGGACGATGCCCCGGGCTGCCGACTATCCCGCCCCAGCCTCCCAGGCGTATTGGGGCCGCTATGACAACCATACGAATTCATCTGTCAGATCTGCTACACCACGCACGCTCCACGACCAGCTCCTCAACTGGCTCTACGTATGACTCTACATCGACTTTACGCCCTCTTCTGCTTCATCGCGTTCCAGGTCTCCGCATCGATCGCCGCCGCAGCCACGCGAGAGACATGCCGCCTATTGCGCTGGCGACTTGCGGGACGCCGCTCCAACATCTTCGACTTCTCATACACTTCCACCTACCTCCTCAATGCCCGTGCCGCACCCTACAACGTGCACTCCCGAGATGAGGGCATCTCAGACCGCGCCGACACGGATGGCCAGCGCAGGCTTTTCTTTAGCCTGCTCTTCCTCTCCAGCCCCAACTTCGCAATGCACGATGCCCACTGCGACCGGCTCGCCTTCACCGCCATCCGCAACATCGCAGATACGAACGGCAGGTTCGACGTTGGCACGCTCAGCGCGCTCTCCAGCTTTCTCTACGGCCGATACCGGGAACCAGAAAGTGGCCACATGGAACGCCCTGGGAAAACAGTAGCAGAAGCGACTATATCTGCAACCACTGTTATCTCGACACGATTTTGTGGGTGTTCAGGAGACGCACGGCGTCGAGGCCAACGCGCAGGCTTTTCAGGCAGCGGACGGGTGTGCGCATCTGTGGTCGCACGGCCCCCGGCGCCAGGGCGGGGTTGGGCTAGCATTGCAAGATGTTTTCCTTCAGCAGTTTACTTCAATCCGTCTTGGCGATTGGTTGGAAGCTGTGCCGGGCCGCCTTGCTATCTCGCACCTCTCGTGGGCGGCGAGGGCGGCGAGTGGGCTCCCCCTCGTCTCGCCGCTCCCCCTCGCCCGCTCTTTCTTATCCTTTTTGTTCGCTCTGTCGACTTCCCTTGCGTGGCTGGTGTAGTACGAGGTGGCATGTGCCATCCAGACTGCCCCGTGCGTTTCCCACACCTCGTGCCCTTCCATGCGCACCTGGGCTGGGCTGCGCGCCAGGCCGGCCACTCGGACGACAGCTGCACGCGCGGCCGCCTACCTTTCTCGGAAGCCGCTCCGCGTGGCTTCAGCCATCAGCTGGGGTTTCAATCGATGTTCTAGGCTATATCCTCTTGCCTTGTTGCATTGCTAGCACTGTGTTCCCTCTCTCCAGTGTGTTTTGTTTGGCTGGCCAGTGGAGCCTCGTGCTGCGATCTGGCGTCCGTTCCTCTCCCTCGCTCTCTTCCGCCCTCTGCCTCGCTCTCTTCTCTCTCTCTCTCTCTCGCCGTCTTGTCCTCTTCGTGTCCACCGTAGGGCTGATGGAACTGTGTTGGGATTCTCTATCTTCGTGCACGCCTTTTTCCGGTGCGGCGTGTCCACTTCTCCTTTCCTCTTTCGCATTCTCTTTCGGCGCAATGTTTTTTGGGCACTGGATCACATAAATGGCCGTTTTGGCCGCAGGGGATATCCGCACAGCGCCCTTGCCCCTTTTCCCCACCTTCCTTCCTCCTTGAAGTGCCTCTCGGTGCCACTCGGGGTGAGCAAAACGTTCGAACCTCGCTTGATTGGCCGTAGCTCCTGTTGCCTGCACCGATGTAGGGCCTCGTGCCGCAGGGGGGAGTTGTTTTTCGGGCTGGGCGTAGTACCATGTCCGTGGCACTGCCACCTTGCTGGATCACCTCAAGCATATAATGCTTGATGCTTTGCTGTTGGAAAACATCCAAGTCCTGCGTGGTGGCCCAGGGCTCCGGTCACCCTGGGCCTGCCCTGGCCTCCCCCCGGGGCCTCGGATTGCTTCCTTTTCGTCGTGGTCGTGTCGTGTCGTCGTCTCGTGTCGTCGTGGCCCCCCCCCCTCTGGCCCCCCTGCCGTGGCATCCCTGGCCTCCCCTGACCTCCCCTGACCCCTTCCCCCCCCAGTGCTTCGGATTCCTTTGGTTTTCGTCGTCGTGCTCGGACCTCCCTGACTTTCATGCACCTGGCCCCCACGCTCCTCCTTCCCCTCGTCGCTCCCCCGTGCAAGAGCCACGGCATGCGCGCAACTTGTTCAGGGAATGTTGTAGTGCAGTTTTCTTGCATGCTGCCCTCCGGAAGAAACAGTTTCGAGGGATGCCGGATGTCCTAGTCTAGCGTGTCCCAGTTTAGGGGGCACTGACTTTGCATTTGGGGGGACGCGTCCGCCGGCCGAATCCCGTGATCGGAGCTGGGCAGCTCGGCCGCCACATCCGTTGACAGTCCCATCCAGGAACGCTTCACCGGTTGGACAAGTTTCTTCTCCACATGTTACGCAGGACCGGCAGTTGATCTGTGGTGTTCTTGCAGAGTGGGTTGACGGACGGTATGTCAATGAACGCAAGATAAGTGTCAATGGTGCCTTGTTAAATGTCAAAAGGGCGACAAGTCGTGGTTTTGTAAGTGGGCGACACCTGAGAAGATAGCTCCAAGTAGAAGGCTTATTCGTATGGAATGAATAAGAAAACTCATTTGCCCAACGATGAAACATATTATCGGGTTTGTCATGTCACCCGGAGGACCTCTTGCTTCTCCTTTTCCTCCTCCCGCTGCTGCTGCTCCTGCTCCTGTCCGTCAGTCGTTTTTGGCTCCACGCGGGAGCCGTCGGAGCAGTTTGGCGGCGAGGTCGACGAGGCTCGCCGGAGAGAGGTCGGCGGGAGCATTGGTTCCTCGAGCACGGCCTGCGCGGCGTGGAATGCTCTTCGCGGGCGCGAGAGCCTCTGTGCGCCTAGCCTCTGCCCGCGCACTGCTTGCCAGCGCGCGCCCGTCGGGCGCTCGCGCGCGGCCTTGGAGAATCGGGCGCGACGTGCGGGGGGCCGAGCCACAGACCCAGACACCCTCGAGTAATGAAAAAATCGTGACGGGCTGTTTGTCCTAATTCTCGGCCTCCGGGGGCCCTCACCGGGCCTCGGGAGCGTCAAAAAACGACTCAGGATGCAAAGCCGGTCATGGGGAAAGGGTCCAGACCTTTGGGGGTCGACGTAATGAAAAAATCATTACGTCGGGGGTCTGGGGACGGTTGACAGGGCGACAGCCAGGCGGCGACAGACGGAAGCCACGGCGCCCAGATCTTTGGGCCCAGATCGAGGGCCCCGCCCGAGCTTTTCTGGCCAGTCGGGGGGCGGACGGCGCAGGCAGAGGGTCGGTGGCTGGCAGCGCGCAGGGTCTTTTCATTCACCCAGAGCGCAGGCCATCGCCGTAGTTGGCGCGCGCGCACAAGAACGCGCCCGCGGGGTTCGCCCGGGGAACAGGCAATTCGGAACAGTTGATTGGCGAGCTCGCTCAGGGCGAGCGCATGTTTTTGAGAACATGTAATTCTTGCATTTTTGGTAAAATTCCCAAATCAAATAAACACATAGAAAAATAGGGCCGCCCGGGAGAAACATAGCGCGATGCCCAGGAGCGCGGCGCCAGGTTTCGCTCGCGGCGCGCGCTGCGTCGGGCGCGCCGCACCGGGCGCGGCGCGCGGGGGGGGGGGAGAGCGCGGCCGTCCGGCCCCCGCCCGCGCCGACGGCCTCTTGCGCAGGGGGGCAGAGGAGGAGGGGGGGGGGAGGATCAGGGGGGGGGGGAGGGGTCCAGGAAGGGAGGTGGAGGAGGAGTGGAGGAAGAGGAGAGCAGGCAGGGAAGGAGGAGGACGAGGACCGGGGGAGGGGAGAGGAAGGAGAATAGGAGGCGACAGCGGAGGAGGAGGCATGCAAACGAGGTGGTGGTGCAGAGGAACCTGTTTCCGTTAGAGTTCGAATGTGATTTATCAAGCAAAACGCGCGATATCCTCTCTTGTTGCATGCGTGTTCGATACTTTATGAGGTTTTTATATTGTTGTTGCATCATGTGTACATTGCTAGCGTTTTTGTCCATGGAATGCGCGCCTCTGCGTTGACTTGTAATAGTATTGGAAACTACCAAATAATTATGAATAGTTTGGTCTGATAGGTGGTATTCTTACCAGGTCAGTGCGTTGAATTTGTCTACAATAATATGAGGGCGCTGGCTTATACGTTTCAATAATACTAGGGGTTTGCTCTTACGGCACTTATCAGGCGCTCTCCCTCTTACACTCCTGGTGCTTTTGCCTCCGCATGGCCGGCATACATGGATTTGCTTCTGCAGCCGCCCGAGGCTGCGTGGCGGCGAAGAAGCAGGCCGCCCGGGCCGCCTGCCAAAGCCCCCGCTCCCGGTCTGACCGAGGGACAGGGCCAAGGTCGTGCGCGCCGAAGCGTCGTGCTTGTGACGTGAAGCCCCGCTCGTCCTAGATATTTGGAGCGCATGATAGGCTGAGTTCACCATCGGCCGTGCCATCATCTGTGGTTCTCATCTTGCTCCGTCCAGCTGAATACGGCCCCATTGATCCAGCTTGACGGTTTACAGAGCTTCTTTCTTCCAGCTTATCTGACAAGTCCTGATTCTGCCTAGGAGATGCCACCCGATCCATCACGAATAGCCATGGTCCTCTCTATGGTGACCCAGCATGTCTTCTGCAAGCTCCGTCAGGCGTGTCCGGTGCAGCTGCGGCCGCTGTAAGTGCAAGGTCATCTGCCAACAGTGACCCTGAGAGGAGAAAGAGAGACCACTCTCACCGAGAACCCGTGGGAAGGGCGGGGGACGCCTGGGCGGTGGCACGCCCGAGCGTCCCCCACGACCAGACGACGCTCAGGCGTGCCCCCTTCCCAGGGGTGGGGTTCCCCCCCCCCCCGATGGTTTCTCCGTGGCGGTGGTCCCTGTTCCTCTTCTGAGTCTCTGCACCCTTGCCTTCTCGGCCTGCCCCCTGCCGATCTCGCAGGCCCGCGGGTGCGTTGGCCTGGCTCCCGCTGTGGCAGGGATGGGGAGGAGGGAGGAGGGAGGAGGGAGGAGGGAGGAGGGAGGGGGAGGGGGAGAAGGAGGAGGAAGAGGAGGAGGAGGAGGAGGAGGAGGAGGAGGAGGAGGAGGAGGAGGAAACGCCCACTCCTTTCTGAGCAGCGTTTGCTAAGCAGGCGTGGGCATTCACCGACATTTGCCCATCGGCGCGGGCCCTCGCCCCCCCCCTCTCCCCCCCTGGAGTAGGTCTTGGCTGTTTGTGGCGCCGGTTTCGAGCAGGTGGAGTCTCCCCCAATAGGACACACTATTGCGAACAGTCGCATTAAGCAGAGGTCTGGAGCCAGATACCCCTCCTCACCCCCCCTCCCGCCCAATGTCGAGCCGCCGAATGAGAAAACGCTCACAAACCAGTCCTGCCCTGTCCGATCCCTTGGCGGAGGTGTGCTTGCTGAGGGCCTTCACTTATAGAGGTGATTGTTCTGAGGGAGTTTCTTTCGCGGAAGCGTGAGACTCGAGTATGCCAGAATTCGGGTTCGCCTACGTACGATTTTCTGACGAGGCCGCCCTGGATTTTGTCGGTCCAGTTTTCGTGGGATGTTTGCAGCAGGAGCTCGCATCAAATTTCAGAGTAAGTCTCGTCAGTTTCCTGACGGCCCCGTCAGGCCAATCCGAGTCCCGAACCCGAGTCTTACGTCTCCCCGATTCTTCTGCCTTCGAAGGAGAACAAACAGACCCCGTAAACATAAACTCTGAGAGACCCGCGCAAATTGCCTCGACTGGCGCAAGGCCCCCCTTCCCCTGGCGCGCGGAGGGCGCCATGGGGCGGCGCCTCTTGCGCCGCCAGCGGAGGGTGGTCAGCGCCAGCCCGAGACATCTGCGCGGACCTCGGACATTTGATGTGCATGCCGTTTTTCTCCACACAAGCACACGCACAACACACAAACACACACACAACATACACAACGCACACACGGAGACACACAGACACACACACACACACACACACAACGCACAGACACACAGACTCACGGACGCATAGGCACACAGGCACAAATACACAGACACAGACACAGACACACACACACACACACACGCACACTCTCTCTCACACACACACATTCACACACATACAACGTCCACACGCGCGCACACACACGCGCGCACACACACGCACACTGGATTTGACGGTCGCCCCCAAGGCGTCCGTCCTTTCTTCTTGGGGAGGGCGTCCCCTGACATCCTCCCGGATGGCAGATCGTCCTCCTCTTTCAGCCCTGCCATCCACGCAGCAGTTGCACTGAGAACTTCTTGCTTGCGCTGCTTCGTACTTGGCTGGCGCTTCCTGGAGACGCCCGTCGCCTCGTCACCGCGCCGTGCGGTGGCCCGCGTTTCTCAAGGCTCTTCTCCCTGTGGCCCCCCGTCGTGCGCTGGCTGGCGGCTCCAGGTTGGCCGGGGCTCGCCGTGGCCAGAAGAGGTGTCGTCGTTCCGGGCTCGGCACCCCTGGTGGTAGCACGAGGGTCTGCAGCGTGGCATCGCGTGCAGCGGCCCCGTGCACCAACGGTCACCCTTAAGCCGGACCCCAGATGGCCCGAAAGAGTGACCGCGGCCGAGCCCCTCTGCGGCAGACGAAGCGAGCCCTCCTGTGGTAGAAGATGGCTCACGCAACGAGCCCTTCCGTGACAGAGGGGCTCACGTAACGAACCCTTCCGTTGCAGAGGGGCCCGCTAAAAGCCAAAGGTCACTTCCTTCGGGCGTTCGGGTCAGTGGCCCTCCCTGCGTGCAGGAGGCGGCGGGGCTCGGCCTCGCTCGGGCGCCGCTGCTTCTGCGCCGGGCGGGGCGCCCCGCGGCCCCAGGAGTCCGTCGTGAGCGAGTTCAACGCGCTCCTCGCCTCGCAGATGACCGAGCAGCGCCGCTTCTTCGAGGAGCCCGCGCACGGCCGGCGCCGTGCCCTTGGAGCTGGCGGCTAGGGGTCTGAGGTGGCCCAGCACAGGTGGCCGGGGGGAGCGAGGTTCGAGGTTGCCTCGGTTCGAGGAGGTTTTCAGCGTCCGGGGCCGACTTCGGGCTGGGACTGTCAAAAACGGATCTGGGGCGAAAATTTGTGCAAGATGGGCCCCGGGAGGGGTCCAGGGACTAACTCTGATCGGTCTTGGCTTCATCCCCCCCGGCGGCGCCGCCCCTGGCGCGCTCCACTCGCCAGGGAGGGGGGCCCAGCGCGGATTCCAGAGATCCGCACGGAGCGCCAACGGTTTGTGCCGATGGCGTTCTTTCTCCTTCTACTCTACCCACAACTCTCAGACTCGAGCGTCCTGACGGTCGTTTTTCCCCATATCCTAAGATGGGGTTCTTGTTATTTCTTGGACGCCGCCGACTTCTCCTCCTTCTTCTCCTTCTCCTCCCCTCTCTTCCTCATACCCAGACTTACTGGCCGTGCAGGGAGTGCTCCCGCCCTGGAGCCTTGAGACGGGGGTCAATGCAGACGGGGGTTAGCCAGAGCGCCGGATCCTGCAGGATCTTGCGAAGACCCCCTCTGGCTGACCCGGGTTAGCGAGCCGCTCGTGGCCGCGAGGCGGCCGCGCCTATTGGTTGACCCGGGTTTGCGAAGACCTGCGTTGCAGTTTTTTTTGTTATTCCTGCATTGCAGTGGTTTCTTGCTGACCGGGGTCTGGATTGACCCGGGTCAGAAGATCGCCGATCCCGGGATGCTGACGTTCAGGCAGACAGCAACCATGAGGGGAAAAACACACACAGACACAGTGAATCGTCGATTCCCAGGAAAAGATTGGAAATTTGGGGAAGGGGGGGGAAACGAAAACCCAGAAAATATGGGAAACTATGGGGGATCCTGTTATTTGTGTCTATTGATTTGTGTGTCCCAGGGCCCCTTCAAGCAACCGGGTTGGGAGGATGGGGTGGGGAGAACAGCGGATATCATTACGACAGGTTCGGTGTCGTGTCGACTTGCCGCGACCCCACCGCGGGCGTTCAAGGTTGAACGCCGCCAGTGGCCCAGACTCGGCCCAATCTGGAACGACCTGGCAATCGATAAGCCGCTGGTCGTTCAAGGTGGAGCGATCCACGTGATGTCAGGAACCAGCGCTGGGGTCGTCACGACACGAACCAGCCGTATCCGTAGGCGGTCGAAGATATCGTTCATTGCATGTTGATGCTATTGTCCATACCCTTCGTCCTCCCAGTCCCTTCCTCCCAACACGATGATTGCTCTCCTCAGATGTCATCGTACGGTCTGTCACCGCACGGCGTTAGGACCCCCAATTGGGGACGGGCTGGCCGGCACTTTCGCTGCCCGAGCGGAGGGATCATCTTTGTTTTTCCCAACTATCTTGTGGTGTTGGGTCCTCGTTTTGAAGAGACAGCGCCGCGCGTCCTCATTCCTTCTCCTCCCGCTGCCCCCCCTCCTTCCTCCTCGTCCTTGCTTTTGCTTTCCGCATGTCTCTGTTTCGGCACACACATCACACGTTTCGTGGCCCCATAGGAAGTTCCATCTGCGGTCCCAGTGGCAGAACTCGCATGCGGTCCCCGCACCCATTGTGCCACACCCCTCACACGCTTCGTGGCCCCATAGGGAGCCTCACCTAAGGTCCCAGTGGCGGAACTCGCATGCGGTCCCCGCACCCATGTTGGCACACCCTCACACGGTTCGTGGCCCCGTAGGGAGCTCCATTTACGGTCGCAGTGGCGGAACCCGCATGCGGTCCCCGCATCTATTTTTGGCACACCCCTCAGACGTTGCGTGGCCCCACAGGGAGCTCCACCTAAGGCCCCAGTGGCGCAACTCGCATGCGGTCCCCGCACCCATTTTAGCACACCCCTCACACGCTTCGTGGAGACAAAAGGAGCTCCACCTACGAGACCAGTGGCGGAACTCGCATGCGGTCCCCGCACCCATGTTGGCACACCCCTCACACGTTTCGTGGCCCCACAGGGAGCTCCACCTAAGGTTCCAGTGGCGGAACTCGCATGGCGGCCTCGGGCCATGTTGGCACACCCCTCACACGCTTCGTGACCCCATAGGGAGCTCCACCTAAGGCCCCAGTGGCGGAACTCGCATGGCGGTCTCGGGCCATTTCGGCACACCCATCACGAGGATCGTGGCCCCATAGTTGTGCTGCTTCATCAACCGCGCTTGGGCGTCGTACTCCGCCTTGTCGACGTGCAACGCCACCTCCTCCCTCATGGCTCTCAGAGCCCTCTCCTGCTTTTGCTCATTGGTCAGAGGGACGCCGTCCTCGTCGTGGTCGGCGCCCGCAAAGACGGCCACGAACGCGTCCCTGAGCATGTCGGGCTCTGGCGGGAAGCCGTGGCCACATAGGGAACCCGGGCGAAGATGGCATTCACACTTGCGGTATTCACAACTGCATATGGTTGGGTCCTTCGCCAGGCTATTTTTTGTTTATATGTCTGCGCTGGGCGGCAGCTCCTTTTCGGCAGGCTATGCTTGTGCTCGTGATCGGCCGATTGCTGCGCGCAGGCAGTGCTGCATCTTATCCCCCGCCGTGCAGAGGCAGCTGCACCGTGCTTCAAGAGATTGCGGCTCTACGCAGTGGACTGAGCGAGCGCCTTCATGAGCATCCCCGAGAGGGTGTTGACGGCCGTCCCCAAGCGCTCGATGTCGCGGTTGGCCAACGTTTTATATTTAGTTCGTTATACCGGTCGTCGCTGGAAGGGTTCATACGAACCCGCCGTTTTGCTTGAGTCACAACGGGTAAAGGATTCGCAGTTCTGGTCACGGGGTGCAGCACTGGAGGATCTGAGTAGCACGACCCGGGTACGTGGTGGGTGTTGGAGAAAAGCGGTGCGAAACCATCAGTATGATTATCTTCAGGCGAAGAGTAATACGGAAGTCCCGCTCGTGCAGGCGCGTTTGCCTAAATGTTTCGAGGGCATTGGCGTTGACACCTGGCAGAGGGAACGACGTTTGTCGCTACCGATTAGAGGTCCAAGAGCCTGACAGCGGCCTCAGCTACGCGTTCAGCCCAGGGCAGCGTGCCCACCAAGAGGGTGGTCTTCCCTGAAGTAAAATATGTCGGCTGTGTTCTCGAAGTAGTGTCCGAATGTGTTATTCATGTTGTGCCCTCGCTGGTCTCGGCCCAGCGCTTGACCTTCAGCACGAACAGGGTGAGCAAGGTGTAAGGACGAAGACGACGAGAACGACGAGGGCGACAACAATGGGCAGGGCAACGACAAGAATAACGAAGAATGGATCGGAGGGTGGGGCGAGGGCCTGGGGACGAGGAGGACGAGGATGAGGAGTGAGGTCAAGAAGGGCGATGAGGAGAAAGTGGCCGAGGAGGAGGAGGAAGAAAAGCTGGACGAGGCGAAGGAGGAAGGCGAGGGAGACCTGGAGGACGAGAATGATGAGGAGGAGGAGGAGGACGAGGAGTAGGAAGACGAGGAGGACGACGAGGAGGAAAAGGAGGATGAGGGTGTGGAGGACGAGGAGGAGGACGACGACGAGGAGCAAGAGGACGGGGAGTCCCTGGGGCAAGCCGTCCTGGTCGCCCCCCTTGCTCACCCTTTCTCTTACGAGCGGAAGTCACGGCGGGCCCTCAGGGGGAAGTTTGCACGCAGATTTTGCAACCAGTGGGTGTTAGGAATTCTGCCTCGACGAGTGTTGGCACCAATCGTTGCACTGTTTCTGCGGGGCGTAGGTACGCCCTTTGGGTTTTCTTCTTTCTTGGAGGCCAGCTAGGGGCCTCTGCGGGGCCCATGAGGCACGGCGTGCGTGAGGGGTGTGCCGACTTGAGGCGCCAAGGAGCAGTCTCGGAGGCCAATTGAGCGCCCACCATGCACGAAGTGCGTGAGAGGTGAGCCGAATTCAGGTTCCCATCAACATGGAATGTCAATTGACGTGTGTTTTCACATACCCCAGGTGCCTCGAGGCGCATATCATTCGTATGTTTATGTGCGCCTGTAGCCTGAGAGCGCAGACCGCACATATCTTCACGTGTGACAAGGCAAATGAAGTTGCGGCTGCCCTGCGGAATTCGCAAAGCCACTCTTAGCATGCCTGTCGCATGCTTCTCCCTCTTCTCCATTATCCTCCGTCTCAGCATCTACCCCCGAAGCCTTCAGCACGGCCAGGGCCCGCAGGGGGCCTGCCGAATCTCCTCGCTTTGCGCATCCCGCCGGCCCAGACGATTCCATCGCGGGCTTTTGCCCGCCTGCTTGTTGCATCTGTGGCGCTGATGGGCGGAGGCAGCTTCCTAGAAGTGCTGCGTGAGCAGTCGTGGCCGTCTCGGGGCAGAGGACTCGAAATTGCCGTCGTGTCCCGCCTCTTGGGCGCCTTGTGGACTCCCCTTGAGGCCCGCTTGGGCCGTCTTGGGAGCCTCTTAGGGATTCAGTGCTCGCGGGTACATGTTTGGAGCTTCGTGGGACCTCTTGAAGGTCTCCCGTGGCCCCCTTGGTGCCTTTCTGGCAGTGTGGGGGGGGGGCATATGTCGGGAAAGGACGATATGTCAGTTCTGGTTTCCCCTCTTCGGACCCTCATGAGGGGTTCGGAGGCTTCTTGGGTGGCCTATGGGGCCGTTGGGGCACTCTTCTTCGGTCTCGTGACCATCCTGAGGGCTTCTTGGCCTGAATCATGGCAATCTTGGGGGCTGAATGGGCCGTCATGGGCAGTCGGACTCTTGAAAGGCGGCAACGCGAAAAACAACATTTGGACTCTTGGAGATATGTTGGAGCTGCATTTGACATGTTGGAGGCTATATTGAAGCCTTTGGGAGTGTACGGAGGCCATCTTGGAGCCTGCCATCTCCCGTCTCGAGTGACCTCTTGGAGCTCCCTTGGGGTCACTCGGAGCGCTCTTGAGGCGCTTTGGGGGGCCTGAAGACCGTCCCAGAGAATTCCGAAACCCGCGACCCACCACCCGGGGAGCGCCCAGAAATCGCCTGGGGTTATTTTCGGACTGTGACCCTGAGGGGCCGCCACGCGCGCGCGAAGTAGAAACATCAAAATTCATTACCAGAGATTTGAGCATGCATCTGGCCTGTTGTGTCGGCGAATTCTTGTCCGCGCCTCGTCGCCCGCGCCTTCACCGGCCTCTGACCCGTTGGGCCAGCGAATTCTCGTCCACGCCTCGTCGCTCTCACCTTTACCGGCCTCTGGCCTGTTGGGCTGGGCTGTCGTCCACGCCTCGTCGCCCTCGCCATTTCCAGCTTCATCGGCATCCTCGTTTCTTCGGTCCACCCATCTTCTCCTATTCAGCGTGTTCCCGACTGGGATCCTCAATATCTGACCCCTCGGGCGGCACTGGAGGCCACCAGCGAAAAATCGCGGCAGCCACCAAGAAGCCTTTGTCAACCTCTTCCTCTTCTCCCTCCTCCTCCTGGACCTCCTCCTCCGACGGCGTCTCTGACGCCGACGCCGCCGACGACGACGACGACGACGACGACGACGACAACCACGACGACGACGACGACGACGACAACGACGGCGACAGCGACGGCGACGGCGATGGCGACGTCGACGGCGACAGCGACGGCGACGACGACAGTGCTGGCGACAGCGACGGCGACGGCGACGACGACCAGGACGTCAGCGGCAACGGTGGCGGCCCCGTCGGCAACGGAGGAGAGGCAGCGGGACATTCAGCACGCCCACGACAAGCGCGTGGAGGAGCTGCGAGAGCGGGGGCGCGACGTGCGGGCGGCGCTGGAGGCCGGCTCGAGCTCCCGCGCGGCGTCCAGAGGCGCTCGGGAGGAAGAGGTGCACATGCCGCTACTTCTCCATTTTTTGAGCCTCCTGGGCGGCCCTCGTCGCCACCGTTGGATTCGCCTGAAAGTGTTGGTCAGAAAGCATCCTGGGAGAGCTCTGGGGAGTAGCAGTCTGGGTACCTTTTGGTTTCCCCACCAAGGGACGCGGCGCACGGACGCGCGGAGATGAAGATCCTTTCCTCCCTCCTTCCCACAAGCAGCTGCTCTCCGATCGAGCAGATTCCTCGCGGCCTCCGAGGGCACTCGGAGCCTCCTCCGAGGGCGTCTCCGCGGCTCTCGGTCGGTTCGGCTTCGAAGGAGAGAAACCGCATCGCATAGACATCTTTTTTCAGAGCTCCTCGCAGATTTCGCAGATCGGCGCTAGAGCCCCCTGGCGGCGCCTCCGGCGCAGCCCCTGGCGCCCTCGGCGCGCCAGGGGGAGGGGGGCGCAGCGCGGATGGAGTCCGCGCGGACCTCCGAAAGGTTAGGCGTCCTCCTCCCCCTCCTCCCCCTCCCCCCCCCTCCTCCTCCTCCTCCTCCTCCTCCTCCTCCTCTTCCTCCTCCTCCTCCTCCTCCTCCTCCTCCTCCTCCTCCTCCTCCTCCCGGGGCCTCGGAAGGCACTCGGGGCTTCCGAGGGCGTCTCCGCGGCTCTCTGTCGCCTCGGCTGCGCCCGCCGTCGCCGTGCGCCCGTGCCTCTTGCTGCCGCTCGCCACGAGCAAGGCCTCTCATCGCAGGCCTAGAGGTTGACACCAACACCAAGATCGGCAGCGTTCCTCCACCGAGGGAAGGAAATCCCGATCTCGGTGATGGTGGTAATATTCTGGCTTCCAAGGTGGCCGAACTATTACCACCAACACCGAAAATCTAGGATCATCTTCCCCCTGTGGAGGCAACCCTCTGTCTTGGCGTTGGTGCCAATTTCCAGGCCTTCGAGGGGGGTCGGCCCAGACTGGATCGGAGGATCGTGCCGCATCGCCGATGCGTATCGGGGATCAATCTCCTGTGTGGAGCCCGAGTATCTCCACGCCGACGGCGCCGATGCATCGCCGACGTCGCCGACGCATTGTCGATGCATCGGTGATGTATCGCTGATGCAGCGGCGATGCGGCACGTTCCTTCAACCTCATCCACCCGGCCTCTTAGGAGGCCTCTACGTGAAGGGAACGGGTCCTGAAGGAAACGGGATTTTTGGGAAAAAGCCACGAGCCCGCCACGAAGTCGTGAGGCTCTGCTGCTGCCCGCCGTGGAGGAAGCGGGCCCTGTGCCGCGCCGCGAGGGCGGTGGGAGCTGACAGAACCCGATCCTGGGCGCCCTGTCCCGAGGGAAGCGGGCTCCGAGGTTGTTCCATGTTTTTCGGGCTCCACGGGCCCTCCGCCCGTCACGGGCCCGTCAAGGAACGACGCGGGAGGAAGAGCTGGTCCCGGGGGAAGGCCTCGGGTCGAGGACACGTTTCCCTCGGGGCCCGTCTTTGTCATGCCAGATTGCCTCCACTTTTAGAGTTTTCGGACGTTTTCCCTGGTTATTGGAAGTTGTCTCGCCTCAGGATGCTTTCCAGCAGCTGCGCCTGGTCGAGAGCGTCCCAGGGATGCCGGGATCGTCTCGAACGGCCGCATGAGGCCCGAGTTATGTTCTGAACGCAAACAGGATGTCTCGCGGGTATACTCGGCTCGGTGTCAGTTCGTTTCTGTTGGTTGCCTCGCCGATTCGAGGTTCTTGGAATGTGGCTTCAGCAACTGCGCCTCGTCGAGACCGTTCCGCAGTGGACGGCCTCGTCCTCGACCGTCTGTAAGAGTTAAATGTTCTGTCGATGTTTACGGCAGTCCTGATGCTGGAGGGACCTCTCTGATTCCTGACCTCCACCTCCTAGCTGTTTTCGTCGTCGTCGTCGTCGTCCCTCTGGTCCCTCCGCTTCGAATTCGACAGACACTTATCGTTGTCCTCCGTCTTCCCTCCTCCGCTTCCTCCTTCCCTCCCCTCCTCGACCTACTCATCGGCATCCTCCTCCACCCTTCTCATCCTCCCCCATGCGTTCTCTTCCCGCTCCTCCCTGCAATATTTACTCCTCCTCCTCATCCTCAGTCCTCCCTTCTCCTGCATCCCGCGCGTCCTCGTCTTCGTCCTCCCTCCTCCTCCTCGCCTCCCCCGCTCCGCCTCTCCCCTCCTCCCTCCTCCCTCCTCGCCTCCTCCCTCCTTCCTCCCCACAGCAGGAGCCGATGGGAATGCCCATGGGGTCGCGGCCTGAACCCTCACTTTCGCCGCCGACCACCAGCCCAACGCGCCGGCCACCACCACCACCGCCACTGAACCCGTCCTCCTCCGCCCTGTCCTCCTTCTCCTTCTCCTCCCCCAGTTTTTCTTGATAAATAACTTCTCCTGTCGCACCCCGGGGGCAGTTTTTAGGGCGAGCCAGGCGTTTCGCCTGAGACTTCCTCACCATGTATGACTCTGAAGCTTAAAAATTGGCAACGGTTTCGCAGATGGAGGGCGGCTGTTTTTCAACATGTGGCTCTCGCCTTTCCCCTGCGCGCATTCGCTGTAACTACAAACTTGCAAGAGTTTCACAGATTGCAGGCGGGTGGCTTTCGAAATATGGCTCTCGCTCCAGCGCGGCGCACATTCGTTTTGAACATGTACAGGAGCTTCACGGAGTGAGGGCGGGTCGTTTTCAAAATGTGGCTCTCGACTTAGCGCGGCGCACACTCGTTTTAAACATTTGCAATCAAGGGCAGAAAAATCGCCCCTACCCTGGTTTACGAGGCGCTGTGGTCTGAAACTCCTGTGGGCTGACAAGGTAAACCCTGCGTGACGTGCCGCGTCCTGGCGGCTCTAGGCTTTGGGGGTTCCCAGGAGGTTTACAGACTACGCACTTGTAATCCAGGGTAGGGCCGGTTTTTCATCCCTCAATGCAAGAGCTTCACGGATTGAGGGCAGTTCCTTTTCAACAGGTGGCTCTCGCTTTTGCGCGGCTTACATGCGTTTTAACAATTCGCAAGAGCTTCACGGATTGAGAGCAGTTCCTTTTCAACATGTGGTTCTCGCTTTAGCGCGGCGCATACTCGCATTAAAATTAAAAAGAGTTTCACGGATTGAGGGCGGGCGGTTTTCAAAATGTGGTTCTCGTCTCAGCGCCGCGCACATGTGAGAATCATAATTGTGCAAAAGATTTCACGGATGCCCATCATGAACGTACCACAAATAGTGTTTTGAAAGTATTCCGGATACCGTGGGCGCAACTGTCACGTTGATTCGCCGTGTTGAAGTCTCAGGAATGGCATTATGGCACGAGTCTGGATCGTCGACACGCAACAGTCAGGTTGATCCGTGGCGTTGGAATCCTGAGAACAATGTTTTAGCATGCTGCAGGGTCTTTCAACGGTTGTCTTCCAACCAGGCAGTTCCCTCAATGGAAGTGAACCGTTGCAGGTGCCTGTGAAGAGGGAGCTTTGGGGGAGGGCTTACTCCAACATCATTGATGCCTCTTGGGTTTACACTGGTCCTCCTCCTCCTCTTTCCTTCTAGCCTCAGGGTACCCATACTTCTCCTTCCCTCTAGCGCTCTAGCGCCCCCCCATGGTCGCTGACCGCCCGCCCTCGCGCCCCCGAAGGCCCCTCCACTCCGGAGGGCCCTCCGAGGGCCCTCCGACCGCGACGGCGGCGTCGCGCCGTCGCCGACGGCGCCTGCTTCGTTGGCTCTTCGGCGAGCGCCAGCGCCGCGGATCCGCACCCGCGGAGGCCAGCCGCATGCGCCTGGAGGACGCCGAGGGGCGGAACGCGAGCCTGGAGGGCCAGGCGGCGGCACTCGCGCGCGCGGGCCGGCGCGGCTTGGCCAGTAGGGCGCCCATTGCAGCAGTTGCGGTCGGGGACTTTTGGACAGCGTGTCGCTCCGCCGGTGCCGGCTTCTTGTCCCCCCGCGGCTCTGGGGTCCCACGGAGGCCCTGGGGCACCTCGGAGAGCTTCAAGCCGGACGGCTGGCGTGCCGCGTGTGTTCTGGTGGCAGAATCTCTCTCATCGTAGGCGTCTGCTGTGTACGCCTGCGCCAGTCCTGGCCAGGCCAATCATGGGCCCAGGGTCGGTGTGCTTATGTGATCGAGGGCTCAGGGCCCACGGCCCTCCCCAACAGATGGGCTGGGTCCTAGAGATTCAGGCCCCCGCCAAATGGAATGGGGGGGCGACGACGACGATGGTGATGGTGATGGTGATCCTGAGGATGAGGATGAGGGTGGTGGTGGTGATGATGATGATGATGATGGTGATGGTGATGGAGGTTGACGGAAGTGATTAATGATGGTGGTGATGGTCGTGGTGATGATGTTGATGATGATGATGATGATGATGATGATGGTGGTGTTGGTGATGATGATGTTGATGCTGACCATAATGAACATTGCGATGATGATGATGCTGCTGCTTATGATGATGATGCTGATGATGATGATGCTGATGCTGCTGATGATGATGATCGTCATGATGACAATGCCTATGAAGCTGGTGGTGATGATGATGACGGTGGTGACGAGAATGATGATGGTGATGATGATGGTGATGATGATCTAGGGAAGGTTCCATGTTGTCCTGATCCGTCTATGGGTCTGCAGGGTGATGCAGGTTGTGATGGCTGTATGGATGATGATGAGGATGAGGACGAGGATGATTGTGATGAGAATGATGTAGGTGATGTTCGTGCTGATGAAACTGGTAATGATTATCATGATGGTGCAGATGATGTTGCTGCTGCCCATAATTGTGATAGAAATCATTGTGATGATGCTGGTGATGCTGATGCTGCTGATGACGATGATGATGGTGATGATGCTGCGGCTGCGCATGACGCTGGTAAGGAGGATGATGATGCTGCTGATGCTGCTGCTGATGATGATGCTGATGCTGGTGATGATGATGATGATGATGCTGATGATGATGATGATGATGGTTGAGGTGGTGCTGGTGATGATGATGATGATGCTGATGCTGCTGATGACGATGATGATGAGGAGGAGGACGATGATGATGATGATGATGCTGATGGTGACGATGATGATGACGATAATGATGATGACGATGCTGAAGATGAAGATGATGATGATGATGACAATGATGATGATGGTGATGATGATGATGAGGAGGAGGAGGAGGATGATGATGATGATGGTGATGATCGTACTGATGCTGATGTTGATGATGATGCTGATGATGGTGCTGATGATGATGCTGATGATGCTGCTGATGATGATGGTGACGATGAGGCTGGTGGTGGTGACGATGATGATGATGATGATGACGATGTTGATTTCGATGGCGAAGACGATGATGGTGATGATGGTGATGATGATGGTGATCATGTCCTGATCCGTCCGTCTATGGGTCTGGAGGGTGAGCTCTCTGGGAAGGCTGGGGGAGTGGGGGACGGGGGCCGACCAGCCACGCGCGGGCTCCTCGAACTGGCCCTTCGGAGTGCCCGGAGGGCTCTGGCTCCTCGGGTCGGCCGAGAGGCCCACGGCATCCCGCGGACTGAGGTGTTCCGCCCCTGCGGTTTCCTTCGAGGTCTCGGGTCCCCCCCCTCTCAGATCCGTGCGTGTTTTTCCCAAGTGTAGATTTTTCCTCTCTTTTCGCGCCCCGGGACCCTCACAGACCTGGAGATCCAACACATTGCAAAAACAAGACGCAGGTTGTTTGCAGGATTCGGCCTCAGGGGTCTCTGCTGGGCCCTGGGACCGTGACAAAAAACGACAAAGGATGAGATACCGGTCCTGGGGAATGGATCGAGATTTCCAGGGACCCCGCATTGAACAACTCACAACGTCGGATCTTTGGGGATCGGCACAGCTCTAAACATGCATCACACAGATAGGGTCCAGGGCTCCGGTGGTGATTGTTGGCGATGTTGCAATGTTTGGGCGAAATCAGATCTACGGGGATGGCCGTTCCTAGGCCCCCAGACCATCAACATTCAACCTAGGCGAACAAATAAACATTTCTGGAGCCGGGAAAGGGCAACATTGGCATCGTCGTATGTCTGGGAGGGGGGGGACCTTGAGAAGTGGGAGGCAGGGGTCGACGTAAATGGTGATTTGGCGATTTCGTGGGCCGTTTTCGTTTTGATTCCGCTTTGCAGCAAAGGCGGATTGAAGACAAGATGAAGGACAACGAAAACAAAACGATCACGCAAAGCAGTGTTATGTTAATCCCTGGTGGGGGGTACGAAACAATGGGAGATTACCTCCGCGTCGGCTCGCGAGGATTCCGACACGACGGGGCTTAGTCCTAGGCTCTAGTTCGAAGGGGCAGCTTAGGCGGGAGTCGGAAAATCACAAGCCGAGACCGGAACCCTGTCTTTTCTGCGCCATTATTTCGGGTGTTGTTAGGAGTGCCCTTGGCCCAAGGGCCCCCAGGATTTCTAAGGAGGCCCCCACGGCCTTCAGAGTACCCTTCACGAGGCTCAGGGGGCCCCAGGGGCCTCAGAATCGAGCGAAAAGCTGGTGGCACCTTGGGCCAGGGGCACCTTTAGCAACCCCCGATTCTTCGAGCCCGATCGATCTGTAAGGATACCGGGGCCCGAAACCGGGCGAAAAGACCAGACGCCAGGGTCTCAGGGCACCTTGGCACCTCCCGGCGCCGGGAGGCTTTCGCGAGCACCAGCGCGCGAAAGCTGATTCGCTAGTAGTTCTGGATGGGTTCTGATTTTCAAGGGCCCTCTCGGCGGAGGGCGCTGGCGCAGGCAGGCGGGAAGCCAGCTGGCCGAGATCCTCAAGTTTCTGCAGTTCTCGGTCTCATTATGTTGCATGTTTGTTCGGGGGGAGATCTGAACGGGGTGCGCCGTGCACGGGCAGAGAGAGGGGGGGCATTGAAGAGACAAGGAGGCGGAGGAGGAGGAGGAGGAGGAGGAGGAGGAGGAGGGGGAGGAGGATGAGGATGAGGAGGGGCATGAGGAGGAGGAGGAGGAGGAGGAGGAGGAGGAGGACGGGGAGGAGGATGAAGCTGAGGAGGAGCAGGAGGAGGAGGATAAGGAGGAGGAGGAG